CATATTAATCCGACCCTCGGATTAGAAGGGAACCAGAGAATATAATCCCTATATAAACCTGACGTAATACATTCCCTCATTCCCTACTAACCCCAGTCAGTTACGCTAGCAGAGAGGCAGAAAATGCTCCTGACATGAGGAAGGGCAACCCCAGCTAGGTCTTATCTTCCGGTCGCTGTGAAGTGAAGGAACTCAGATTAAGATACTATAATATGTGTATATCGCGAATTTAAAGGCTTCCTGGCTATAGTAACCCTAAACCTTACCCTCGTTATAGTAACTTCTTGCAGGTCTTTGACAGCAACCGTGTCGTTCATGCTTCATTTTCCTTAACCCTTGCGGTTTAGGGTATACATCCCCAGCTTCCATTTCATAGTCTATTTACATCCCATTTGATTCTCCATCATAAGGGGCCCTAAATCCCCACATGTCCCCCATGTTGCGGTGAAACCCTAGACCCTAAACCCGCACGCAATGCCCATCTGTGAGGATGCCTTGGACAAGGCAGAGTTCACGCTCCCCACATCATCAGTTGAAGCGCTCTGGTGCGCCCTGCTTGCCTGCTTGCTATTCAGGGCTCTCAAACTCAAGCCGAACCCAAGCGGATAAGAGTCCCTTTCTGCATTGTTTTCCTTCGTTTCTCAGCTACATTCAAGGGCTGCCCATGCCTCAGGCCACCTCAAATCAACCATGATGGAAGGTAGCAGCATATGAGCAGCAGGTACGCTGCAGACAAGACAAAGTGCACCCACCCGTCCTTGCGCCAGGCGGTATTGTGATTATAGCTGGGAGGGTTTGCCGTGTGCCTTTGAATCACGGATCCTACTCGGTAAAGCTGCTTGGCCCAGCTAATGCTTACTTAGCCAAAAGAAGAACTTTAAGCTTTTGCGCTTCTTTTTGGGTCTCTAGCATAAAGCTGAAACTTTTTTAGCCCTGGTTATCGGGGAGGAGAGAATGGGGCTGAAGGTTCTTGTCTCAAATTTGCTGCTCCTTCGAGATGGCGATGCAGATTCTGGGTCTTGCATGGGCGACTTGTGGATGTATGGTTTCCCCTTAAGTAGACAGAACATGGGGGGTTCAAAAGGGATAATGGAAAAGAAAATGGAAACTACTCTTTAGGGTTTGGTGCTTAGGGTTTAGGGTTTAGGGTATAGCCCCCCTTAAGTAGATAGAATATGGTATTGGATAAAAGGTACTAAGATCCCCCAGTGCCCCCTATTCTATCTACTTCAGGGGGACTATATGGGCATGTGCTGGAGTCAGAGACAGGGCAAACGCAGCAAGCTGGGAGCTGTTGCTGAAATCTTGCTGCTTGTTGCATGCTCCGTTTGGGCTGATATACATTAGGATCACTTCTTCCCCGAAAGCCGCATACTACTACGTACTGTTAGCCCTGCACCCTACTTGGCCTACCACCAAAAGAAGGAACTGCCACAGCGGACAGGCAAGGTTAAGTTGGCAGTGCCCGCTTGAAACATGCAGTGCATGCTGCTTCCGAAATACAGTTTCCAGGCTAAAGGTATACGTCCTCATGATTCTAGTCTCAGTGCACTGATGCAGGTCTGCTTGTCTATGCTTTTTGTTCAACGAAGCCCTGCCTCACGCAGGTGAAGGACCTCGAGGATCGGCTGGTGTGCCTGGGCTTTGCTTCATTGCAGTATGGACTGTTCACCAGGAGCCTCCTGTTTGCCCCGAATAATTAACGGGTACTTCGGTTTAAAAAGGGGTCTAGGCAATGATGATGAAACAGATGCCTAGCTAGAAATGGCCGTATTACATCAAGAGGTTTGAGATGGGATGATGATGCAGGCAGTATTCCCCTGCCGACGACTACTCGCGATATAGGTGGAATGCAGAATGGCCCGAGGGCAGTTGCCATTCTCCCTTGCAGTTTCAATTTCGTCTTCTGGTCGGTACGTGGGTATCACTCAGCCCTAGAAGCCCGGTACCTCGAAAATGGGTTACTGTTCCTGCCTGGCCCGTTCAGACATCATGTTAGCCGCAATCCAAGAACCACCCTTATAGGTGACTGGGCTATTTTGGGTAAGCCAGCCCATTCAAAAAAGGGTTAAGGGGTTTACGATCTGGATATCTGGGCTTCTACTATATCCCAAGCCGTTCACCTGTGTTGCACTTAATTGACCATGGTAAGGAAACCAGGTTATTTACAATGTATCCTTGTCATTATGGTAGCTCAGCTAAGTCACTCAACACGAGCCGCCCGCCGATAGACCCTTATGTAACCTCAGCCTCCATTGTTCATTCAAGACTTCGGATTTCCCATTATTCCCCCCAACCCTACGCCCTACCCCTATCTCCTATACATAACTGCTACAACATCCCTACCCTAAAACCCTAAAGACCTAAACCCTATAAACCCCTAGACCCTGTACCCTAAACCTAAACCCTATGTATAGTTATCCATACCCAGGATGTATCTGGCCAGCGGAATGTTCTTCGAGTCGGTCCGCACGCTGATCACGAATGAGCTGCAGGTGCCCACGCTGCACTCGCTGGACCCCAAGGACGGCTTGATCTTAGGGGTACACATAGTATACGTAGGATATATGATTGTAATATAGTGTTCAGGGCTCAGGGTTTAGGGTTCAGGGCTTGGAGTTTAGGGCTTAGGGTTTCGTGGTCTTCTCGGGGAGCTCTGGACACGAGTCTTCAGGGTGAGTGCAGCTACACTCCGGCAGTTCGCTCAAGTCCGGGTTGAAAAGGGTTGGGGGTTTAGGAGGAGATTATATAGGGGATTCTATAGGAGAGTACCATGGGGGTTATTAAGGGGGGGGTGATACTAGGAGTTTAGATTATAGCTTGGATAGTATCATATAGGGATTATGCAGCTTGTCCTTGGGCTATAGGGGATAGTGGAGAAGCAAATACCGCAAGATATGGCAAACAAAATGGATCCTGGGAGTAAGTACTTTGGGTTAAGTAGCATGCATTGATTTTTGCACATTGTGGCCCAGTAATAGAGAACAAGATTACAGCCTCCATTTTGGGTATAGAATGGGATAGGAAGAATGTGGTCGTACGTGGTTCAACTACCAGACATGCTGCTCATTTTGGGCCGGGCGGGTCATCAAAAGTAGCGGAAAGTAGCCTTGCCCTTGTTCCGGGCTTCTCGCGTCCCCTTCTCAACCCTTGAGAAACACATCTTCTGCACCGGACGCCTGGTAGCGTTTTCCTAGGTGACTCTTCAAGAAGGAATTGATTCCAGGCACGGCGCTTGCGATGCATCTTGAAATTCCCAGAAACAGGCGGACGCCTGCCTTGCAGCTTGTGTACAACGCTATCTTGTTTCAGCCAAGGGCTTATGTTGAGGTCCCCTTACTTATGGAAAGTACCGTTTCGACATGTCTAGCCCACCTAATCCCTTGCGAACGTGAAGGAGATCAAAGCGGCGTTCAAGCAGGTGGATGAGAAGACGGGCTGCTGCGGCATCATTGACCCTCATGAGGTGGGTTTAGGGTTTAGGGTTTACTTCCTGGTGCTCAGTAGGCAAAGGAGGAATGATGCCTGAGAGCAGGCACTATTACCCATTCACCCTACTAACCACCAGCAACTCTAGGGGGGCCAAACGCTAAGAAACTTTGCGGAAGTGCTTACAGGGACTTAAACTTAGATTCTTCTAACATGTGCGCAAACACGACGCGCTCTACGCGCGGGCACGAGATGAGCTGGATGGCAGACCCTTGTGACCCCAAACTTCTCGTGGCACAATTTACTACTAGCTTGCGGGAATTAAAGGGTTTCAAGCTTATGCAGCACATTGTAAAGAAGAAGCGTTGAGAAGTACCTGGAAGATACAAGGAAAACTCTCTGTCCCAGCTCACAGTAGTTCTGTTCACTCGTCAACTTTAAGACAAACTTTGGGCCACTGCAAAAATGTGAAAACAAAGGGCAAATTTGACCCCAAGAGGTCTGTGAGCTCCTGTTGCTCCTATCTCAAGAAGGAATGGACCTTCAGACAGTCAGATGCCCAGACTGCAGCCAAGACATAGAGAAGGACGTGTATTAGGTGGGCAGGTCTGAATGCCAAGATTCAAGAGTCAGACAGGTTTGCAGTGTCGTAACAGACAGGTTTTCAGTGTCGCAACTATCAAAGTTCTGATAGACATTTGCATCAAGTGTCCTGCACGAGACAGGTGCGTTAAGTGCCAGAGGCACCCGGTTGCTGGCTTGCCGTTTGGGTAGTGCCGCAGCAGGAGAGGCAAAGAATAACTTTTCTGGAGTCCCAGTGGCCCTAAGCGTATGGTATGAGAGCATACGAACAGATTTGTTGGGGTCCTTGGGGTTTTACCTGCCGTAGGAACCGCAGCGCGCAGTCTAGTTGCGCGATGGAGGTGTGATTTATGACCCTCCAAGTTACCTGTGGTTGCCCCTAAACAAGCCCAGTTTCCAGTTCACGTCCCATTACAGCGGTAATATATCGCCCGAATATCCTTGCACAACACCTACACATCCTTTGAACCCTAAAACCCCTAATACATTACCCAAGTATGCCTACGTATATAACCTCTATACATCCTAAAAACCCTAACTCAAAAGCCTATAGGTAAGAGACCTGCATGCTTCGGGCCAAGCGGGAGGGAGCAATGGGTAGAATTCTGAGGTCCAAGCATCCTTCCAGCAGCTCCACATGAATCTGGATGCAGAAGCTATCCAAGATGCCTTCATGATGGTGGGACACTGAGACACCGCAGCCTATGGGATAGGGTTTAGGGTGTAAGGCTTAGGGTTTAGATAGTATATGCAGGATGTGCTATGCATAAAGCATATGGTATACAACCGAATGCAGATAACGGTCTACACCTGCAGGTCTCAAGATGTAGATTTCTCGCCATTGTTTGCCTCTTTGAGAAATCGTCAAAAGTGCGGGCCAGATTCGATATGTTAGAGAATTGCAACAAATACCATGGCACTTTTTTTTTTCTGAGCAGCTGTGGAGGTTGACACCAATTGCGATGACAAGCGGCTTGTCTTGTGTCTAGCCAATTGCGCAGGTTTCGCCCAAAAGGCTTCCTTCTGGGTTGTCTCAACATGAAGGGTCCTGTGTGAAATCTTCAATGATGGGATTGTTTTATTTTCGCTGTATCTTTGGGTGCTGCGTGGGTTTGGTTTAAATCTTCCACGAAGGCTGAGGAACAAGACTATGAAAGGCCCGCCAGCATCATTGCGACAACAATGCAAATCTCATTGGTGATCAGAATAGCAATAGTAATTGAATGACCACAAGAACCATGGTAAATAGTCACAGCATCAACATCAGCAATCGCAGGGGGGGTTGGTGGTAGCAGTAGTTGTAACAATACGAAGGATAAGAATAACAGTAGCAATGAGAACAGCTAGGTATAACCCCAATATACTATATAGTCGTTTCCATTTTCCATAATCCCAAACTTCACCCCAATATACTATATGGCCACTAAGTGGTTGTAGAGCAAGCTTTGCCGTAAAGATGTCTTGTCGTGGCAACAATGTCTCAAGCTGCAGCTCAGGATAGACCTCACAGCTCCTCGCTTGCACTCCTTCGCACTAAGCAACACTCCTTCTGTGTGTTGCATACGTCCCGAATACTGGAGCTAAATAGAGGGTGAAGCAAATTTTTGAAGTATCAGTTTCCGAAGGACGCATCAGCGAATGTGTTCGTGAAAGGGAGCCACAGACCGCTGAAATCTGCAGGTGGGCGTTATAACATTGGCGTATCGGGCTTGTTTGTGCAGCCCCCGCTGATTCCTGAAACCCGCACCAGAACAGCGGCCCACCTGTGAACAAAAATAAGCCGCACCCCTTTCCAGGGCATTGTTCATGTTCTTCTATGTGTTCAAATTTCTGCATCCTTTTCCGGCCTTGCGCACAACAACAAATCAAGCATGTCAGGAATTCGTGAGTTGAAGTCCACTGAGATGAGTGGGGGTAAGGCAAAAGGGTTAGAAGTTAGAGGCCGCATTCCTTGCTATGACACAGGGAAGTTGCCAGCGCAAGGGTGTTTTGATAAGCGCTGCGGCAAAAATAGGAGAAGAAGTAGCGTTGGGCTTATGAGTAGCTGCGTATGATACAGATGAAGCAGTAGGGGCGAGAGTAGTAGCAAAGGCAGGAAGTTCGGTATACTGAAGATTCCTAACATTCTGCGCTGCACTTAGAAATAGACTAAATGTCTTCATCTTTCCCGGCAGGAACCTTTGTGGTCTCTATGGCCCTCGGCTCTATTCCATGCAATTGGCAAGCAACTCACAGTACATCACAGTACAGGAGTTCCTGAGCTTGATTGACAAGCTGGTGGACCAAGTCATCCCAGATCCTTGTTTGGGTACAGTTGGTTGATGAAAGCGTTCAGGGTTTAACCTTAAGCACTCAACCTAGGGTTTCAAGGTTTGGGACATCTCTTTTTTACTCTTTGAAGGCTGGGGAGCTCAGCACATGGGAGCTTCTCAAATATGACCCCTAGATTATCCTCAATCCTTGAGAAGGAACCCACTCATCCTTTTGAGATTCCTATGACAACTAATCCTAACATATCCTTGGTGTCTGAGAAGCACCGCAATTGTTTGAGCAACTTACATGTAGGTTAGGTGGACCCCCCACCCAGTAATAGTGGCTATAAAGGACAACAAAGATTATACTAGGGTTCTCTCATATTCCGATTATACCCCTAAACCTTAAACCCTATATTAGTGCCCTTTTATACTCTCATTATACTACTATGACAGGGTGGTTGGTCATCCTAACATCAGAGCGGGTCAGTTTGAAACGAAGGTTTCTTATTGGGCTTAGGGTACAGGGTTGAGGGGTTTAGGGTTCAGGCTTTGGGGCTTCGCGTTTAGGGTGTTGAATATAATAGACTTCAGGGTACTCCAATACACATACGCTCGAAAAGGACTTCAAATTTCTGGAAACCCTAATCTCTACAGACCACTATACAATCCCATTATATATAGATTTTCCATGCTTCTCTGCCATCTGATTTTCCAATTCTTGGGGTATGTTCCTAAATAGACCTAAACCCTAAAGCCTATGCGGCCCCTAAACCTAAACCCTATACAACCCCTGTGTAAATCTCATGGTTGTAGCCCCTGGGCGGAACGGATCTCCGTGGCGAATACAATTTCTGAATGCTCCCATTAGCTGAGTATAGGAAGAGCATGGTAACAACAATCTTGAGATATCTTGAAAACTTATACGGTAATGATAGTAATAGCATTACGGTGAGAGCTTTAGATGCAAAGATGAAACGACGTAACTACGCCACAAACCCCATGTAGTTCGGTGGCTGCCTTGGCCCTACCTACTCCTTTTAACACAACTCTCAGCCCTTAACCGCGTTCCGACCCTTTGTTTTGCCGAGTGGCTACGAAAATGGGGGTGCATTTTCATTGGCAGGTACAGGGATTTCGGGCCCTGGGCCCTGGTTTTGGCTCGCACGGCGCAGCCTGTCCTTGTAGACGAATACGAAGCAGAAACGTCGGAGCTCAGTACGCATCCCAGCAACTGCGCTCATCCGTCACAGTCTGTCTACGCAGAATTCACTGTCTAACCTGGCCCTGAGGCATATCATGGTTTACGGTAACACCAGAGATGAGTTGTAATTACTTGAGGCCATCTGATCACATGTTTTATGTGGTGACCTGAACAGCTGATGATTGCACTCCAAAAAAATCCAATCGCTTTTCAAGAAAAATGAACCTACGTCCCCCGAACCGTGAAACTAACTGTCAGAAAGCAGCGGCAACCTTGTGCATAAGCGAACGAACATAATCACCCCCTCCCCCAACTTTCAGAACTGATATTATCCTCACTCAAAGCTGAATGGGAACATTCACAATTCAAGCTATATGCTCGGCCCTCACGAACATAATCAACCCCCCACCCCTCCCCCGCCCAAACTTCAACTAAAATTGCCTGATTGGGGACATTCGCAATTCAAATTATAGGCTCGACCGTCATGTGCAAAAGTCAGCATTATATGGGGTGTGAAGGCTTAACCGTACTGTCAGGTGTAGGGTTAGGATCTAGTTAAAAGGGTTTTGGGTGTCACTCTTGAACTTCCTAAAGCCTTAAGTTTGGACCTCCAAACCGTAACACCGCAATGCGAAGTAGGCTATATTAAGGTTTCCTTTTTGCTCGGACGATTGCTATGATCTATTTGGTTTCTGTGTTTTTGCCTTGGGAGCCTTGGAGCTTTGACCTCATGAAAGTGCCAAGCTGGAGTAGCTTTCGGGATGCATCTGCACATTATTCGGGTTCAGGTTTTTAAGCAAAGCGGTTTGGGGGAGGGCATGACATCAAAAATGGAACTAAGCCCAGGAAGCCATCTTCGAGTACATGGGCTTGTTGCGGCACCAGATGCTTGCCTGCCGTTGCAACGTTGTGACCGTGCAATGTGGCATGAAGTGTTGTGATATTTGGCATCTCCTGTTTGGGGTTTGGGGCTTAGGGTCCTCGAATGGCACATACCAAAGGAATTCTGCCTGCCCCGCCTCCTCCTCCCTTGCACTCTATCTGTCTTTCTCTCTCTCTCTCTTTCTCTCTCTCTCTTCCTTTTGCATCTGCATGGCTGCAACGTCAGCAACATGAAGGAGTTGGAGCGAGATGGGGCTGGTACACATGTACGTCTGACCTTTCAGGCAAAAATCCCCCAAAAGGAGCTGTGATTACACTGGCACACGCCCAGCCCTGCTCGTGGAAGCTTGTCACTGCTTGGAATTCCAGGATCCTGTCCAATGTCCTGATGAAAGTGATGACAATCTTGACGATGTTCCTTTTTGTGTTTGCCCCCTGCCTGCAAAAAGCCGATCGCGCAACAAGCCTGCAACCTTCTGGTCTGTTGTTGGGCTTTGTTGTCCTTTGGGATCTTTGTCTATTTCCCCTATTATTTTGTAGGGAACCATGACAGTAAACAATTTTCGAAGGGCTTAAAGGACAACCCAGTGGTTTGCTATTGGAGTTTCTTTGACGTCCAAAGGAAACTGTGCAGCGGCAGCAGTTGACAGATGAATGGCTGGCAGTTGGGATGCCCTGGGCTCTCTGCCTTTGAAGCCTAAACCTGAGATACTGCCCTCATTCATTAACAGCTGGATAATATTTTTCATGTCATGTAGCGCCTTTACTGTGATCCTTAGTGCAGACTGCTATTGGTGGGGGCAGGACCCAACCTAAAACTCTAAAGTCAAAAGCCCTAAATCTGAAGCTCTTACAGCCGAGGTTTCCCTGAACGCCTTCCATGTGAACGTGGGTCAGAAAGCGACCACGGCAGGCTCTTCAATGATCCGAGCTGCTTTGGCAGGCACGACTCTCTTTCATCTCCTGCTTTGAGGGACTGAGGCTACTAAGTAGACAGGAATTACCTATAAAGGGTTACTGCCGACAATGTACATAGATACGTGCAAGCAGGCATGCGTACCTTGCAGACATGCAAACATATGCAAATTTAATCTTTTGTTGCCTTGTGGGTTTGCCTGCTTCGATGCGAGAACATGCGACCAGACAGTGCGGTAGGGGTGCGGGGTGCGCTGGCAGGATTGGCCTTGCTTGGGCTCCGAAATGACAACTCCCCGGAGTATATGGAGAAGCAGTACAACATTGCCAGGGCGCGCCCCTGAATGATGGTTGATGATGTTGCTGGTCTCGTTTGTGAGTAACATCCTGTGGCTCGCTCTTGACATTCCTGGCAAAACTGTGATTTTATACATCCCAACCTGACATGAGCGAGCTGTTTTACCTTCAAGGGTGTTTGAAACTGAGGATGGGTCTCAGGCACCTCAGGGGCCCCGTCAAGTACTGTCGCACAACAGCCCTTGTGTGTGCATGTTGCTGGAGGGAGAGACCTTATGGGAACTAATTGCTTCCCAGTGGACCTCCTAATGCTACTCTTGAAAAGAGACCCGTTTGGGAGACATTAGTTATAAATTGGGGGGATTCTGAAGGATTTGCGGTAATTACAAAAAGTCACGAGGGATTTTAGGTATGTTTGATGTATAACGTTTCATAACGTTTCATACACGCGCTTATATATAAAGGACCTAGGGCAAATCTGCTGCCAATTGCGGATGTCCTTCTTTCCAAGAGATTCCATGCCCTCATAGGCTTATCAAAACGGAATCACAGCAGACATCGAACTACCCTAACGAAATTTAGTTTGAATTGGAGATTGTCCTCGTCTTCAGGTCCCTCTTGTCCTGTTTTACAGAAGCCTTTCAGATGATCTTCAGGACAATCTGAATGACATGAAACATAATTTCTGGATTTCCGCGATTTCCTGGTATGAGTCTCGCAATGAATATTTTCTGACAATACACATGTTTTCGGGTCGAGGAGTGTTTCTTTGCTGAGATGTCGTTTGTTGTCAGGGAGAGTTAGTGGAATTTCTTGATGAAGAGACCCTCCCTGAACCACCAAACCCTAAACCCTATCCTTCAACAATCCCAAGTCAACCAGTCCTTCAAGTCAATCCTACATCATCCGAAGCCCTAGCCCTGAAGCCTAAACGCCTAAACCCAACCTACAACCCAAAATACTACATAGTAATTTTCATTTTTCCATTGTCCCGATACAACCTATATTACCCCATATAATCCTAATATTACCCCCCCCCCCAAACACACCACTCCCTGCTGTGGATGGATGGAGTTTTACAACACAAAATGTGTACATTATAACCCAGGAATTGCAGGATACTGGGAAGTCCTAACTGGTGCAAGATCTTCTCCATCTACCCTAGCGAAACCCCAAACCATAAAGCCCAGATAATTAGAAGTTGTATCAGCTTAGGCTTTGCGTTCGAAATCAAAAGCTCAAAAGGGCCTTCTGTTGAACCCCAAACCCGAAGCCAGGAGCAGCTGTATCGCATCACAGGGGTCTCCCGGAGTCAACTTGAAGCCCGTCGCCGAACCGGCTCTCTGGGCGCAGGCTGGGAAAAAGTATTTGAGCTACAGTCTGAAGTCCTTACAGGGAGTTATATAGGGGAGGATTATGGGAGGTTATTAAGGGGGATACTAGGAGTTTAGGCTACGGCTCATTTTAGCAAGAAACGTTGTCCTTTTTAGGAGAAGATGGGAGATGTCCAGGGTCAGAGAGGGGTGAAGAAGGTCTAGGAGTTCAGTGATCAAGGTTTCCCTCGTTTAGGGTCTCTGTAAACTTGGTGCTTTATGGATGGGCATAAATAGGGGGACCCTGGTTTTTGGAGCGTACCCTTGGGGACCGGGACTGGCCTCAGAGCCAAGAGCGGTTCGGGGCCTCCCATTTGTAATGGCCAACGCTCAAAACTTGAGGTTGTGATTGGGTTCGGAGGGGCCTTGAAGGGAGTTTCCATACTGAGCGCCCCACCAGACGACCAAGACCTCAAGTCGAGCGGTCTATTTGCTGACATACTATCTAGATATTCCAGTGTATATGTGTGTGTGGAAACGCTAGCGACGCTGACCCTAAACCCTACAGCCCCAAAACCCTAAAGCGTTAGATTTCTTTACAAACCACTGCTTGGCGTGATGTTGCCGGCCTGAGGTGCTTCAAACATGTTTGGGGCGAAGGGCCGCTTTGCGGCCAGGCTACCCGCTCGGGTTGGCTTAATGGCGCCTAGTAGGGAACAGGGGAGTATATACCAAATAGGGAGTATATCATATAGCTATGTAGGGAGTATATTCCCTTATTCCCTACTAGCCCCCAGGCCCCATTTTGAGGAGGTAAAGATTTGCAAGGCTTCAGGGTTTGAGAAGGTTAAGGTCAGCGAACATCATCACATCATGTTCTCCTGGTTGCCATGATTCTCGGGCCCCTTGCGCATGCTCCTTCCGTGAAGGCGTGGCGGCGGCGGCGGTGGCATGCTTGGAAAGGAGGAGGAAGAGGAGGATGATGCCGGTGGTGACCTTTGAGCAAGCTCCGGGGATCCTGCTCCGGCGTAGCCGAACTCAGAAGTACACATCCCTGCCCATGCCTACCCTGCACATACTTGGGCTTAAGAGCGGATGGGGATGGTTCATTGGTCACGGTTCATTGGTCACACCAAAAGCAGGCATATCCATGCAGTAATTCGGTGGCGCGCATCTCGAAGAGAGCGCGCCTGACCTGGTGCCAAAGTGTGCACCCTTGAGTCGCCAATGTCGCGAAAGTTTCCCAAGTCAAGAGGTCTCTTCCCGGCCTTGTATGAAAGAAGTAGGTGAATCTCTACTATGTTTGTCTACCACCTACCTTCAAGTCCCCGGATTTCAGGGAAACCACCACGAGCTTGCATGATAACCCTGCAGCTGCGGCTGTGATGACTAGCAATGCATACGACCAATGCTGTCGCGCTCTAGTCCACTTGCACAGGCAGACTAATTTGTTGAGTCGCTGGTGCCGTGATTTGTGCAAGCAAAAAGAGTCGTTTCTCCTCACGTCACCTCCATGGACTCCTTATAATATACTGACCCCATGATGCCTGTTTGATCGCTGATATGGGTGGTTGTCAAAATTATGGTCCCTTTTTGGATCCCCATTATAATACGGCACCTAATATTTAGGGTACCCAAAAAGGGACCATAATTTTGACAACCACCCATATATACGTTATATGGCCCTCTCGTCCCAAAGCTGGAGGTGGTGGCGAAAACGTAAGGCTTAGCTCCGGACAGGCTCCTTCCCAATGCAACTTGCCAAGATTAACGCAACATTGGAAAACCTCTCCTACAAGGTTCCTGAAAATAACTTGTAATTTCTGTTACCTAGAATCCTAATATTTAGCTGAAATCATAATTTCTACTGGGGTTCCAAATCCCTTAGAGTTTCTACTTCCCTAACATTCCCTAACCCCTAACTTACACCTGTAACTTCCTTTGCCCCGACCAGAGGGAACTCTAGTAGTTTTCATTTTCTGTTCCATTATCCTTATGTAGCCCCAATATATGTTTATATATATGTGCCCTATCATGCTATAGTAATTTCCATTTCCATTATCCCTATAAAACCCCCACAGCTGACTTCGTGAGGAGAGTTCTTTGAGCCCACAAGCGCCAATGACGCCGGGCCCTGGCCAAGTCTTTCAGGCGCAGCGGCAAGTCTGAAATCAAACGCGGCAGCGGAATAGCAGTCAGTGCCTTAAGTACATAGAATATGGCTTTGGGTATATTATAATAAGATCCCCATATGCCCCGTATTCTATCTACTTAAGGGCCACTGCTCTGTTTGTATTTGAGTTGCTGGTGCTGGTGCTGGTGCTGGTGGCGGCGGGGGCGGTGGCAGTGGCGGTGGCGGTGGGGGTGGGGGTGCTGGTGCTGGTGGCGGCGGGGGTGGTGGTGCTGGTGGTGGCGGCGGCAGTGGTGGTGGTGGTGGTGGCGGTGGCACCGGGAGTGATTATGGTGGCGGCGGCGGGTGGACAGCACAAGTGCGCACGATGAGACACAATATCAACACAGGCCGTAACTGAGCGAGCAAAGTCAAGTCGTTAGGCTCAGGCTGAGAACACCTGCAAATTATGTTATTTTGCTTTTGTAGTTGGTTCCGCTTCTGGATGCATGCTTGCAGGTGGAACTGGACCGCTTGCGCCTTAGGTTGCTGGTATGACATGGACATAGCCAGACGTCTGCTCACATGACTGCTGTGGCTCATCGGCTAGTCCAGAATGTTGCTTGCAGTGAAAAACCTTCACCATGCCTCCTCACACTATCCAACCGAAATCCAGCTAGAATACTCCCCTTCCCCTAATATTACATACTCCAAATATATTATCACATACCACATTATGGAGATGTTTGGGGGGTGGGGCTGTTAATATTAGGGGTAGAAGGCGAGCAGTTCTGGCCCTGGGACTTTGGCTTGCTGTGGAAAAACTAGCGTTTAGATCTCGAGGTGGTGAGGGGCTGGCAGGCATCGGCTTGCAGCTCGATGTCGGGGGCTTCAGAGAGAGAGAATGCAAACGAACATGGAAACTACTGTAGTATAATAGGGTGTATATTGGGGTAAAAAAGGGATATACTATAGGTAATATATTGGGATTATATAAGGATGGGGGTTTAGGGTTTAGGGTTGTATAATTTAGGTGGACCCCCCACCCAGTCATAGTGATTATAAAGGATAATAGGGATTATATCAGGGTCCTCTTGTATTATATTCTTGTTATACCACTATTACAGGGTGGGGGGGTCCTCCTAAGAGATGATGTAAAAGAACATGGAAACTACTGTAGTATGATGGGGTGTATATTGGGGCTATATAGGGATGAGAAAATGGAAGCCACCATAGTCTAATAGGGTGTATATTGGGGTCATATATGGATAATGGAAAAGAACATGGAAGCTACTATAGTATAATAGGTGATATATTGGGGTTATATAGGGATAATGTAAAAGAACATGGAAACCACTATAGTGTAGCACACATTTGTCTACCCACTTCGCATGTTCCACACACACCTGGTGCCAGCCGGTAGAGTCGATGCATGAGAGTGCATTTACGCAGGCATTTTCACCTTCTTTGTGGCATTCCTGGAGTTGCACGGCGATATGAGCTATAGTCTAAACTCCGTTAAGGCGATTATGTATCGGAGTATTCTGGGGCTTGTGAAGGGGATACCAGAATTTAACTCCAAACCCTGAACCCTCTACTATTGGGGTTATCAAGGGGGATACCAGGACTTTAGGCTTCGGCTCATGTGACCTGAAAGTCCGAGGCGTCGGATCAGAAGCTGTGCCTGGTCACGGCCGTCAAGGTTTGGATTTGGGCCTTTGGGGGTTTAGGGTTTAGGGGTTTAGGGGTTTAGCGGTTATAATAGAACCGCTAAATAAGGAGCACTTAAAATGATTTCCACCATTACCACAGACAAAGTAATTTTGACGCCAGCTCATATAGGGATTATATAGGGGTTCTATAGGGGTTATATAGCGGTAGATACGGTTTAGGGTTTCCCTGAATCAGGGGGTATCTTTTGGGGGGTCCCTGTAGTAAGGACTAGAGTATTTGGGGCTCTATTTTGGGATCCCCTGGTTAGGAAATCATCATATGGACTCGCAAAAAGGGCACTACATAGATTACTGGTTACCGTTCTTTTTAAAGGAGGTTTGTATGGGGTTCAATGTTAGTTTGGGGGAGGGTACTTGCTTTTTCCCGGTTAGCAGGGACTGAAGGAATGCAAAATAAAATGAAAACGATTATCTTCTTGGGAAAGCCTAAACCCTAAATTCTATATGTGGACTACTACAGCGATCCCTTCCTGTGAGCTGGAGGTAAGCTTGGAGGGCCAGGGGACTGAGTAACTAGGTTAATAACGTGGATTACTAATCTATGGGGGGCTTCCGAAAATTAGGGGTACTTTTGCCGGGTCCCCAGAATTAGAACCGTAGTATATTGGGGTCTATATTAAGAATCTCCTTGTTTTGGGAAACTACCATATACCTATAGGAGCCATGAAATCAGGATGGGTACTCGCCATCATTAGCCAAAGTACTTACTATGCCCCCCTGACCCTTGAAGCAGCCAAAGGCCCTACGCGAAGTTCTTTTCAATAATGTATCTACCTCAGAACAGCTAGCTACCATAACAGAGAGGCCCCAAAATAGACCCCCAATATAACATAATCCATAATAAGGGTCCCCCAAGGCCCCACATGCGAAGCCGTGAAGGTGCGGCTTGGTTTCTTTTAGGTTCCCTGCGGGAAGTCCACCCCTAACCCTCAAGGGCCCCTAAGGTGGTAGCCCTAATAGGTTTCCTAAAATGGTCCCTAAAGGGTCCCCAAACCAGGGGTACAACCTTAGGGGTCCAAGGTAGAACCCCTTGAAACCCTAAACCTGCAGGAAGAGGGTCTCGTGAAGACCTGGAACTCCAAGAATCCGGCGCAGAAGGTCCGCGCCACAGCGGTCTAAGGTTTAAGGTAGCATAAGACTTCAAATGAAGCCAAAGAGGACGAAGACCCACTTTGAATCAGAGGATTTTGGTAACCCCAACCCTCCAAAACTAGGGCCACATACTGTAAGAGTTACATAGTAGTTCTGGCTCTAATTTGCGGGGTCTGGTGGTTACCAAAATGCTCTTATAAACTTCGGAAATGGAAATGCCCAAAGTTCGTTGCGACATCCTCTCAGCAGCAGCAGAGGTCCAGTCCTTTGACCGACTGCTCCAGGCTTGCTTGTTGCATCAAGAGTCGTTTAGGGTTTAGGGTTTACACTCGTGGGTTCCCTATAAGCCCCCCCCCTTTACCCCCCCCCCCTACACTGATCCCCCTTAGGCTCACGACTACTTAGCCGTAATTAGCCTGAATTGTCCCTTCTCAGCTTATTGGTTAAGGGGGACCTAGGAGGTTGCGAATATATTCCATGTATCATCCCCATTTAACATATCCCTTGTTCCCGAACACCCTGCAAGATTGTTCTTCATCAACGCGACTTAGGTTCTGAGTCTTGTTGCTGCTTTTTGGGTGCGACTGCCGTTGTTGCATTTTCGGTTGGGGTTGTAATGACGCCAAAAGACATGTACTCGTACTAACTACGACTGACACCAGCCCAACTGCAGAGCATGAATGCTGGCTAGAAGATCAATTCGTTGAATTAAATGATAGCCTCAAATACCCCCTGGAACGGACAATCATTGAAAAAGAAGTTTCGGGATGACTACCTCGTATAAAGCCCCGTATGGTGTTGGCTACTCGGTTGCCTAACGAGATATATCAGGGGGGGGGTCCCTTTTGGACATCCGATGGTTTTTTGATGTCATTCGTCATCCTGTTCCGGGATGATCGCACGCCTGTGCTTGCGTGATTCATGGAAAGGCTCCTTCCCATCCTGTAGCCATAGGCAAAAGAGACAGCAAGTGGGTGTTATGGGTGCTTCCAGGCATACTTGACATCCTTTGCGTTCTGATCCCTAGGTTCCCACGGGTAACCCTCAACCCAACAGCTGCGCGCCAA